AACAGTTTTATTGAAGAAGTAACACATAGTCAGTGTAAAGTTGATTGGAAATTCAAAATGAATTTTAAAGTCATAGTATTGGTTGTTGAAATTTACTTGAAAATGGTAAATTCACTAGCCATACCTGTCAATCTTCCTGCAGCTCAAACAAAGAATGTGGGTCCAATAATCGATCCGCCAAAAAAGTACGATTCACCAGCTAAAACCACTGCTAACCCAGTTCTACTGAATTTAACTCCAACGATTTCAACAGTAGGTGCTGTCGTGTAGGCTGTTACAGGTGTAGTCAATGGAGCTGTAGAGGATGTTACTGACGTGATTCCTCCGGTAGTAGATAATGTAAAAGGGACCGTGAATCAAGTGGTAGATGCTGTTTCTCCAATCGTAGATGATGTAACAGGGACCGTGAATCAGGTGGTAGATGCTGTTTCTCCAATCGTAGATGATGTAACAGGGACCATGAATCAGGTGGTAGATGCTGTTTCTCCAATCGTAGATGATGTAACAGGGGTTTTGAATACCGCGACTAACGCTATACCACAGGTTACAAATTCCGTGTGTGCACCTCCATTGCCTCCTATTCCGACCGGTGCGAAGAAACCTACACCTAAAAAACCATGTAAGGAAGATCATCATCCGGCTCATCAGGGTAAACCCAAGGGGAAATCACATAATCTTAAAAAGAATGAACACCGTAGATCAACATCGTCATCGTCTTCTTCTTCTTCTTCTTCTTCTTCTTCTTCGTCATCATCTTCTTCCTCAAGTGATCGTTACGGCAAAAAACACTAAAAACTCGAAGAAGTCATATTCGTAATCGAACGTAAACCAAGTCACTTTAAATGTCATTAATCAACAATATTTCGACTTGAATACCAACTAACAACAATCCAAATTCCATTGGTTTATTTTAATTTTGAATGATTTTTTTTACCAAAAATTTGAAAACAGCATTCATCTCCTACCTAATCGATAAAGTAAAGGCTTTTAATTTTGATCATTTCATATTTTTCTAAAAATAAAAATAGAATATTGAGCGTTGCATTTTAAAAGTGTTTTTTTTCGTATCTTGATCAGTTCCATCGTATAATAAAGGCTATGATTGAAATTCATTGGGATTGAAGCTGGATTTCATGTTTCATAAGGCTTAAAATGATTTATCGCCGAATTGAAAATGTTTCGGTCGCAATAAATCCAAATGCTAAACCAAATTGATTCAAATATAGAATTTTGATGTGTTCTTGCGAATGGTTTCGATTGGCTGCAGTTGCGTTTCATTACAAGCAATGAGAAAGTGCATGGTTTGAACGAATCATTGCGAACGACTTTTTTATTTATTTATAATCAACCATATGTTCCTCACTCCCATATGAGGTATTTGCACAGACAGCCGCGCGTTGTCAATTATTCCATGAGTAAGTGACACTCTCATTTTTTTTTGTTGACTTTTTTATCATCTCTTTATTTAAAAAAAATGAAAAAAAGATTTGAAATTCGATGTCCAAATTCAGAGGAGCCCATGTCTTTCTTCAACGTTTTTTTTAAATTGTGAATATCCTAATATAAATGGTGATCGGAAAAAAAGATTGTAATGAAAACACAATTATGCAAATAATTTTTGATTCAAGTTACAATACGTTATATATTTTCCGGTATCTCTTGAATATGCTAAATAGAAAAATTTTGCTTTCGCAAATGTACACAATTCGAACATAGGCTCGGTTAATTCTGAGCAGAAATTGAGGGTGATCCACAATTTCGAATTTGAAGAGCAAAAAAAAAAAAGGTCCTCACTTTTGAAAACCGATTCTATCTAGTGTAAAACCAGTCTCCGAAACCGAAAAAAGTGAGGACTAAAAAAAAGGTCCGAAAATGGCAACGGGTCCAAAAAAATCGTTGGGGGTCAAATTTTGCCAGGGAGAAGTAGAAACTAAAAAAGAAGTTGCACCGCTACCAACTGTCCTTGAACCCGTTCCAACTCCTGCGAAGAATCCACAAATTAAAGCAAAATCTGAAGAGCCGATAATTGACCCACCGAAAAGACAAAACGATAAAGAAACTTTAGATACACCTAAAATAAAAGAAATATACGTAGAATCAGACCCAACGCTTATACCAACAAACGAACCAATTGAAGAGCCGAAAATTACAACGACTCAATACCTAGCTGAGCCAACGGTTGACCCAGAACTTCATCCAATCGATCTATTGTTATATAGAACAGATGAACTGGAGTCACCAATTGAACCATTGTTCGAATCGCCTGTCGTAGAGCTTGAAAAAAATGTAGAAAACGAAGAAGAAGTTGCATCAGCTCCAACCGTTCCTGAACCTGTTGCGGCTCCCACAACAGACATAGATATTATTACAAAAGTTGAAGACCCGATGATCGATTCACCGAAAGAACAAAACGATGAAGAGCCCGCAGATATGGTGGAAATAGAACCAATATACGTAGAATCAGACCCAGTGCTTACACCAACTAACGATCCGATGGAAGAGCCAAGCACTACAACGACTCAATACCAAATAGAGCCAACAGATGATCCAGAACTACATCCAATTGATCCGTTATTATATCCAACGGAAGAACCGGAGTCAAAAGTATATGAAATCGACTATGAGGAGTCACCAATTGAACCAGTGTTTGATTCGGGGGTTGAATCGCCTGTCATTGAAGAACGTAAACACCATCAATGTGCTTGTACAAGAAAGTACAAACCCGTTTGTGC